TCGTTCTTATAGAGTGCACGTAAAAGAACCCTGAACGTTAGGATTTGAAATAAGAGTAGGCCGTAGCGCCGTGTCCGTGCAAAATCGCCTCATACTGCACATTTCATGGCGTATTCCCGTCTTGATTAGTACAGTTGATGCTGAACGCAGGTACGTTAAACTCGATTTCATTTAATTTAAAGATAAATTATGGGAGAATAGATAGGCCCAAAGAGCAGACTAATGTAAAGAGAATTTGCTGAAAACTTCAGTTCCACTCTGAACCGAGAATTTAGCGATTGAATTTGGGCCTAGCTTCGATCATCATTACTAAAGTTGGTACGAAAAAAAACCCAACATAAGCTTGATTATCCATTTTTTGATTTAATCATAATTGAGCGTTGACCAGCAGATCAGATCCTAATCTAGTAAACAACGCAGACTAGCGATGACATCGACAGTTAATTATGGTCTGGATAAGTTAATTAATAATTTAGATAACATTTCAGGCCTAAAGAAAGACATGCAATAGGCAGATTCAGTTCTTGCATAATGTATATTAAATTTCCAAATCATCGGATTAGCCGCTTGCATTGATATTATTAATCTCATTCCAAAGTTTGGTGTCATAACTAATTGGATCAAGGCCAAACGAATCTGGTTTGGTGTGTGTGTGTGTGTGTGTGTGTGTGTGTGTTGGGGGGGGGGGGGCGCTTTGCTTTAATTTTATATCTGAATTATCATTTCCTGTTTCTCAATTCAATCTAAAATAAAACAAGATGACTAGTCATCAACATCCCGCGCCCTTGCACTTGTTTGGCAGAAATAAGGAAAAATAACTTGTTTATGCTATTGGTAATCAATATAAAAATGTATCAGATTTCGCAAACAGTGTCACTGGTCCTAATATTGTGGCCCTGTTTAGTAGATATTGCTCTCTATTTCTGAAAACAAATGACTGATTGATATTTACTAGAAGATTTGAGATAATTTATGACATTAAGCTCTGGTTTTAAAAATTAGACATGACTACATAGAAAATAGAGATATTTTGCAAGTGGAGGGAACTGGAGCTTTAGACAAATCTCATATTCCGACACATGGAATATCAATTCACAGAATTTCATACTCTGATCACAGTAGCTCTGCAAGGCAGGGTCGCTACTCCCTGTAAGGTTTGCACAACAACCTTTACCTACCTTAATTAGCTGCTGTATGTTAAACAATAAACTTATACATCAGAAAATAAAATACTATAATAGGTTAATGTTTGTACAAAGTTTCAAAAAGATTTTTTGAACAGATACTAAAATATGCTCCAGAAACAAAATCAGGATGGAAGGCTGGATTTCAGAAAATAAAATAATGGGTAAAATTATTTTAAAGGTATCTTGAACAGTCAAATGTGTTTTCATGGAAACACATAAAATTATCAAATCTGAGAAATTCAAAATAAGTGCCATGAAGATATCTTGAACGATTTATGAGATATGCTCCAGAAACAAAATTGTACACCAAAAACTAAGTAAAATTTGTTTCCATGGAAAGACACAAAATATCACTCCCAGAAATTTCTAAATAGCAAAAGGCACAACTACTGTAACGGGTTAATGTGTGTGCAAAGTTTCAGAAAGATATCTTGAACGGTTTATGAGATATGCTCCGGAAACAAAATTGTACACCAAAATCTAAGTCAAATGTGTTTCCATGGAAACACAAAAAATATCAATCCCAGAAATTCCTAAATAGCAAAAGGCACAACTACTGTAATAGGTTGATGTGTGTGCAAAGTTTCAGAAAGATATCTTGAACGGTTTATGAGATATGCTCCGGAAACCAAATTGTACACCAAAAACTAAGTCATTTTTGTTTCCATTGAAACACACAAAATATCAATCCCAGAAATTTCTAAATGGCAAAAGGCACAACTACTGTAATAGGTTGATGTGTGTGCAAAGTTTCAGAAAGATATCTTGAACGGTTTATGAGATATGCTCGGTGCGGGATAATAAGATAATGTTTATAAACCAAAACAAACACACAAAATAACTTTGTTCTACTGGTGTATTTCTATATTACTTAAATATTATCAGAATAATTTACCAAGTACGTAATATATTCTATTTACCTTTAGAGAAAAAAATAACCTATTCTCTCAAAAATATCAAGAATGAATATTACAAAAAAAAACGAGGCTGAATCAATCGATAAGGCCGTATTAGGGCAAATGCACGAAAAAGTAGCCTATTTATTCATCTGAAAAACATCTAGAATAATTTGCTTTTGTATGTAAAATATTTTAGTATGTTTGACAGAAAAATGTCGTCTGTCTAACGGGTAATCAAAAGGGCAAGATTTTACATGTTCCCAATGAGCCACCATATAATAAACAGCGCCATCTGTTAGCATAATGTGCGTTAAAATTATGACTCCCTTTTAACCCGTTAGGTAAGTCATAATTCTAACTCTCATTATGGTAACAGGTGGCGCTGTTTATTATATGGTGATCCATTGAGGACATGTTACCAGCGGCTGCCAGGCAGGATACGCCCACATTTTCGAGAGATGGATAAAAAAACAAGCTAAAACTAAAGTAATTTTTCCTACAATCAAGGGCCATAATTCAGGAAATTACAATTCGATATGCACAAATATCGAAAGGAACCAAGATCTTTGAGTTATAAACTTACATTTCAAGTTTCAACAAAATCGGACAAAAATTGTGACCTCTATAGGGTCCACAACCTTGATATACCATATTTTTACGCAATTTGAGAATGAGGGGCGGCCATTTTGTCTGTCAGTTTTGGGCCGATTTTCACGAAATTTTAACTCAGTCGTCCTTAGGGTGTAACGGTGATATAATAATACGTTTTTTTAAATCGGATAAAAATTATGACCTCTATAGGGTCCACAAGCTAAAAACGCGTTTATTCGTACAATCAGGGGCCATAATTCAGTAAGTTACGGTCCGATATGCGCGAATATTGAAAGGAACCAAGATATACCATATTTTTATGCTATTTGAGAACGAAGGGCGGCCATTTTATCTGTCAGTTTTTGGCCGATTTTCAAGAAATTCAAACTCAGTCGTCCTTAAGAGTGTAACGGTGATATAATAATATGATTTTTTAAATCGGACAATAATTATGACCTCTTTAGGGTCCACAAGCTAAAAACGTGATTTTTCGTACAATCAGGAGCCATAATTCAGGAAGTTACGGTCCCATATGCGCGAATATCGAAAGGAACCAAGATCTTTGGGTTATAAACTTACATTTCAAGTTTCAACAAAATCGGATAAAAATTGTGACCTCTATAGGGTCCACAACCTTGATATACCATATTTTTACACTATTTGAAAACGAACGGCGGCCATTTTGTCTGTCAGTTTTGGGTCGATTATCACGAAATTTTTTTTTAAATCAGATAAAAATTATGACTTCTATAGGGTCTACAAGCCAAAAAACGCGTTTTTGCGTACAATCAGTGTCCATAATTCATGAAGTTACAGTCCGATATGGGCGAATATCGAAAGGAACCAAGATCTTTGTGTTATAAACTTACATTTCAAGTTTCAACAAAATCGGATAAAAATTGTGAACTCTATAGGGTCCACAACTTTGATATACCATATTTTTACGCTATTTGAGAACGAATTGCGGCCATTTTGTCTGTCAGTTTTGGGCCGATTCTCACGAAATTCGAACTCAGCCGTCCTTAGGGTGTAACGGTGATATATTAACACGTTTTTTTAAATCTGATAAAAAATTATGACCTCTATAGGGTCCACAAGCCAAAAAAACGCGTTTTTGCGTACAATCAGGGGCCATAATTCATGAAGTTACGGTCCGATATGCGCGAATATCGAAAGGAATCAAGATCTTTGTGTTATAAACTTATATTTCAAGTTTCAACAAAATCGGATAAAAATTGTGACCTCTACAGTGTTCACAAGCCAAAAACGTGATTTTTCGTACAATCAGGGGGCCATAATCCATGAAGTTACGGTCCAATAGATGCCAATATCGAAAGGAACCGAGATCTTAGGGTGATAAACCTATATTTCAAGTTTCATTGAAATCAGATAAAAATTGTGACCTGTAGACTGTTCACAAACAATTGTGGACGGACGGACATGGGGACGACAATATACGTCCACATGAAAATGTGGGCGTATAAAAATGTTAACGAAGCTGAACTGCCTACAATAATTTAAAAGTAATAATGGAAATAGAACAAAATACATATTCTAACTGCAATATTTAAAAAAATAAGTCATATAAATTAGCATTTTTACATGTGTAAATAGCCAATTTAACATGTGTTAGTAAAAAGTTACATGCATAGAAGTAAGCATATTAGCATACGCATAACTAGGTTACGAGTTAGAATTATGGGGGAAATTCCGCTCGATAGGTTATGCCATATACTATGGTTAATTTAGAGCCTGCTGTACTGAGACTGAAATCCTGGGTTTTTGACCGTCCAATCAAATATCTCCTCATGGAAATTTTAATGACTGACTAGTTAACGTGATTGACCTCTCAATAAAATCTCAGTGTTTGTTAACCTCCACACAAAATGCTCATGAAATTTTAACGACTGACCATTTAATGGGAGTGAACTCTTAATAAAATCTCAGTGTCTGTTAACCTCCACACAAAATGCTCATCGTCAAGCTTAGTCAAGGTATTGATTTAATGAAACTATATCAAGTTTCATCACTCTCGTTAAATTGAAATAGAAGTTATTGTGTCCAAAAGCTTCAACAAATTGTGTATGGGTCATTCCACCTCAATTCAACCAAAACAATTTGGGATTCCAAACCTGATCATCTGCTTTTTGCCATTTTTCGCTTGTTCTCAGTAACTCCAAAATCGTTAAATGGACATATATCCTAAACTACTGGATGAATTTTCACGATCTAGGTGTTGTTTTGATTGGAAAAGGTTGAAGATTCACCTACCATCATCAGATCACACCATAATACATTTTTAGAATCAATATCCATTACTTACTATATGATCTCCTAAAGCTTCCTTTGTAATATCTTTTAACTGTTCTAAACTTTTTTTATCTTCCACCATGTCTTCAATCTAATTAAAAATATATAAAACAAGCAGCCGGTTTACATGCAATATACACCCACATTTTGCAAGAGATGGACAGAGAACCAGCTAAAAAATAATAGGTTGCCAGGCAACGAAACATACGCCCACAGGAGCGAAATCGTCTGGGCAGTCAACAAGTGTTGTCGCATATTTTTACTTCTTTCGGTAATGAAACATTTATAATACACTAAAATCTGATTAAGAGTAACAACTCATGAAGTAATTATCAGAAATGAAATGAAATGGGGTTAAACGTCCTACTGTTCTGTTCCTATACTGGGCTAATGAAGACAGGCATACGCCATACAGTGTGCTATGAGGGAAATTTTGCCCGGGCAGCGGCACTATCGCCTACTCTTATATCGAATTCCAACTGCCAAGGGATCTTTTACGTGCATTCCAATGTATACACGGGACCTCGGTTTTTCGTCTCATCCGAAAGACTAGACCGCTGTCCTTGTCAGGCCCTCCGTCCTGCATCACTGACAAGGGGAAACCACGCCGGAAAATCGGGATGAACTTTCTCGGCCAATGCAGGGATTGAACACCCGACCTCCAGGCTAGTGAGCCAGCGTCTTACCCACTTAGCCACATGATCCCCCAGTAATTATCAGAAAACCATTAGAATTTGTTTGTTTTTTATAAAGTTCTGCCCCATGCTAACGTTTAGTATACAAAACTTTTAATATCATGGATTTAGCTGTTCAAGTCATAAAAATTCATTGAAAATCAATATACTTGTTCATCTCAAGACTTTAAACTCTGTGTATCAATCTGAAGTCAATCGGATGATAAATTTAGCCTCTAGTGATCAAGGGCCATAACTGTGACAGTAATTATCGAAAATCACTAAAAATGAATAGACTTCTTTGTCTCATGGCCCTAAACACTGTATATAAATTTAAAGTCAATCGGATATTAACTTTAGCCTCTAGAGTGTCCACAAGCAATTGTGGACGCCGGACGGACGGACGGGGGCGTCGACAATATACGACCACATTTCAATGTGGGCGTATAAAAAAGCAAGTTTTAGCGCCCCCTATATTACGTGGAGTTCCTTACTTTGGATCGTATGTCTGGAAGTATTTCTTTCAGATCTTCAATCTCTTTTTTGATTTGTTGAACTGGATCCTCAAAACCACCAGTTTCTATAATAAGATCATAAATTACAACATTAAAATTTTGTTTACCATATATTAACCCAGGTTCACTCTACACCAAGATCTGAATATGACATAAAAAAAAAAGCACAACAAAAATTTCCTAACAATTTGAACTCCTCCAATGAAAAGTGGTATCTGGTGTTCTTATTGCATATGCTGCCTCACATTTTCAATTACTTTATAATCTACTGACAATATTGACTGCTTACCATTGTTAGATTTTCTTGTAATGGTATTGGTTAATACTATACAGGAAATTGAGAAATACGTCCAAACAGTTAAATAGGGGCATTACCTGATGAAAGTTAATGAGAACTTGGCACAAAATGGCTGTAGATCAAATACTGGAGGAAAATAAACTTACCCTTTTCTTGCACTATTGATTCATCTTCTACAGACTGTTCCAGTTTACCTAAAATATAATCACAGCAAATATTAAACTTTGTACAGCACATCCTGATAATGTAGCAATACCTAGAAAGTTATCAAATAAGTTTACAAACTTTACCCTAATCTGACAACAATTGGGAGGTTGGATGGTCAAATGGTTAGCGCGTGCGCTTTGTATCATAAGGTCTGTCATTAAGTCAACTGGCATGGTTTTGATTTCCCAGTTGTACGTGACGAGCAGTAGGGTAGCTTGTCCAATCTCTGGTTTCCTTCCGCTGATAAAGACCCCTACATTACACACAAGTGAATTATGAAATAAAATTGAACCATGTTAGTTCCGAAATGACCTAGTTTGTCCCTATCTCAACAATTTCATAAAGGACAATGTTGATGTCAGCCATTATTACATATGATAGAACTGGTTAAACCAATCTGATTAAAATACAGATCTATATTTCGTGTCGGTTTTTTTATTCTTTCGATGGGCTACACTACATGAAGATCTGACAAGTTGTACTCGAAGGTCATGTCAGGTGTCGTACAAGCGGCCATTGACCCTATGACATCAGACATTGTTTAATCAATCAGCGTTGGCATTTCTAATAGTTTATCAACAGTTCTGTGCATGGCACGCCAAGAAGTCGCTGTAACAGACTGTTTAATTGAAGAAACTGGAAGTGACGCAAAAAATTGAAAACAAGTTATCCTTATATATAACTGACTGAATTAATGAGCAATGAAACCACAGTTGAATTTCAGCTCGTTGATAATTCCTTTGGAGATGAAAAATTGTTATATAAATAAGACTGTTATATTAGAAAAAGAATTGACTGTCACTAGATAAGAGAAAACAAAAAAATACCATTATTTTAATAACCATCCATTATGCAAGAGTTAAATCTGCCTATTGCAGGTCTTTCCTTAGTGGGTTTGAATACATTTCATGATAGATGATTTAACGTAAAGACAGGTTGCCAGGCAACGAAACATATGCCTGCAGCAGCTAAATTGTCCGAAAAATCAACAAGGGTTGTCACATATTTATTCCTTTGTAGGTAATTGGGGGCCTTTACAAGACAGTTCCATACAGATCAGATTATATTTTTTGTCTTTTAAGGGTTCACAAGGTTCTACAAACTTAAACAAGGGCCTAACTCTGGAAATAGTTTACAGAAATTGTTGAAATTTGACAGGCTTTTTCGATTTACTAATTTAAATAATGCATATTAATTTCATACAGATCGGATGATAACATTTGTCTTTCAAACGTTCACAATATAAAACAAGGGCCATAACTCTAGAAATTGATGGAAATTGCTGAAATTCAATAAACCTCTTTTTCACAAATTTAAATGATACATATTAATTTCATATGAATGATAACTTTCATCAATTGAGCATTAACTATTGTGGGCAGGCTCTGAGGTTTATCCGTCTTAACTCAATTTTCACTGCCTGAAACCAAATATCATAGACTGATATAGAGAGAGAGAGAAATGGGGTTTGATGTCCACTCGACACAAACTAGGTCATTTCGGGACTGACATATGGTTTAATTTTATTTCAATAATTCGCTTGCGCGTAGGGTCTTTAGCAGTGGGAGGAAACTGGAGGACCAGGAGAAAACCCACGAGGTTGGACAGGCGACCCTACTCCTTGTCACGTACAACCGGAGATTCGAAGACTGATACAGACTTACTGTGTAGGGGAGTTGTTTATGACAAGCCCCTGAATTTCCAGCACAGACTCAAAATCCAACGAGAAAAGTCTTCCACGATAGTCGCCATTTTGTTTGTTTTGACTACGTAGTGATGTACCGATAGATAGTCCACGACAGCGTAGAATAATTACTGTACATAATGAAGTCACAGAATAGGGAGTAAGTCACTGAAGTGGTCACTGACAAGCCCATTATTTCGTATTACAGACTCAAAAACAGACGAGAACAAATGTCCATGACCGGCGCCATTTTGATTGATTGTTTATACAGATTTATGTAACCATGGTCTACTCACAAGAGCTACAACACAACCCCTTTACACACCTATCCTTGAATCCTTTAAATATCCCCAGTATTTGCCACATTTACAAAACATCACCTGAATAGCTATGTCAAAGTTCATGAAATTTGCAACCACTGACATCAGTGACACAGCATCTGGGTCGACCAGCAGAAAATGCACCGGAAAACAGGGAAGAAAGGGCCTAGACGATGAAGATAGCCCTACTGCAACCAGAATAACATTAAGTAGCAAGACACACCATGATCCTGAGGATCACGTATAATCTACCACATTAACTTGTGGGCCCAATAAATATTAAAACACACGTACACTACCCCATCCAAAATTCCTTGAACTTTTAAGTTCCGTAGGTGTCTTCTACAGTCATTTGGGACAGGTTTAAAAGTTAAAATATGTATTCAATATTGACTGTTCACATTACAATTTTAACTTTTGAAAAGATTTAATGTTTATACTTCCTGTATAGAAAGAAAAAAAATCATTCCTGCCAAGGCTTGATATTTATTTTTTCTGTAATAAATAAATATTCACTTGTAATAATCTTGGTGATTATAAGTAGGTCTACTTTATAGTACTAACAACGTATCTCGAAATTCCATTCACATAGAAATCTGAAGATCAAAATGGCCCTTCACATTCTCCGAAAATTAACAGAATATATTGTGCATATAAATGAAATGAAAATGGCTTTCAACGTCTTACAAAACACAGATTAACATGTCTTACATTTCAATGAACTTATTAAATTTGCTGTCCGATAGCAATAATCATTTGATTTGTTTCCATCATGTGTGAAATGAAAGACCGTGACCTTTCAACATGAAAGTAAACTATCAGTGCTGTTTGGCAGACGACACGTCATTTTTTATCATTATTAAAACTGACCTGATGTCACACATTGGGATAGCCTATATTTATGGAAATCATTAAAGAAAGACTTGATAATCACGTCTATTAAATCACAAGAGTTGGAAATAATGGCTGGAAATGCCACTCGTTTTACCTCGCTGGAATTATATTTTTAACTTTAGTTAGGCTTTCAGTGAATTTTCAGCTCTGGTTTTTCAATTTTATTTTTACAAGACAAAGGTTTTATATCACATGAATATTTATTCTTGGATTCATGGCAGTACAGTAGATGGACTGACCTAGTTTAGTAGCATACCTGTTTGGATCTCTCCATTGAAGGAATATAATATGCCGGATTATGCATGTGTATTCAATATCGGATAAAGACAAATAGGACAGTAAGTAAGGCATACTATCGAAACACACACTCATCCCCATACTTAATCAAAATGGTTAAATAATATCCTCCCGAACTCTGGGAGCGTGCTGATATTTGCAAGCACGACCTCACTCCTACAACGATAATTTCTTTTGGTGGACAATTTTATTTAGATAGAACCATGAACAAAATATCCATGACAAAAACAGTCGGCTCACAGGGCCGACTCGCCATCTTAAAAATAAAAAGATGTCAGCCCGTCCAGTTATTTATCGGCGCCGGACCAAAGTAAATTTTAAACAGTGCAGCAAACAGATAGAAGACAACCACCCACAACTGAAGAAAACTGTAGAACTACTAATGACCAACCATGAGAAACTAGCTCAGAGAAAGCAGGAAGGTATTACTGACAAGGAGCTCAACGACAGAATCTCCAAAATGAATAATGTAATATTTTCCATGGACTGATCGAAAGTGCCGAGACTAACCCCTAGTTAAAACAGGAGGATTATGTCCAGGTAATGAAAGTCTGCACTGAGATTCTTAATTTACCAAGAGTTGGTATCAACGAAGTCATCAGACTTGGCCCACGAAATGATGAAACCACTGATGAAGAATGCAAGCCACGCCCACTTCAAGTTGTTTTTTTCCACTCGTTGCATAAAAACCAAAGTACTGAAATGAAAGCATCTGGTTCACTGACAGACCACAATGGTCAGTTTAAAAATATCAACATTAGAGAAGACGGAACCCCTTTTCAGAGGGACCAAATGAGATACTTAGTGATAGTCTTATGAACAAGAAAACAGAACTTTGTATGTTTGTCGCGCAAAACTCCCGGGGCATTCCATGTCAAGTGTACACACTTTCCGACTAAAAAATGACAAGACATATCAGATTTCGTTCATTTGATGACTGATGGTGAGGTGGGATGAAAAAAGTGTAAAAACCAAATTTCAGGCGAATCGATCCAAAAATGACGTTATTTTGGGCCGACCAAATTTTGGGCCTATCCGGTGGGCCAAACACCTTGCAACAGCTATAATTTTCCTCCTAATAGTTCGATTTTCATAAAGTTAGTACCAAAATGATCAGTAAATCCAGACCTTTCATTTGAAGTATTACACAATGTTATCAGATAATGTTTTCAAATTTTCTTTTTATTTCTTTGAGCTTGATCTTTGACCATGTCCAGGCAGAAAATCCCATGACCCCATTTTTTTTTCTCAAAATCATGTTCTATATATCATCCACCCGTATGCCAAAAATGAAAATGGGATCTCTATGGGATCATGCCCAAAAATGCTTTCGCAAATGCCACCTGGGTTGAGTCTGCATGGTTGAGCCTGGGGTCCAGTGTATGTTTGACTGGTATCCAGCATTTTCTGAGAAACGAAAGTGGATATTTTCTGTTATTTCAAAAAAAGTAAAATTTCGAATGAAATAATAGATTTAACTCGTAAAAAGGGGGAGTTTCGTAAGTTTTGTGCAGATTCTTTCAAATGCCATGACAAACTGAAGTAAAGGACTTGAGGGATGTGTCTTAAGTAATGATTGAGTAATACCCGTCGATGGTAAAAGAAGGTGACAGTGTATGTTCAGCATGTAGGAAAAGTATGTCGCAACTGCCGCCTGAGGCGAGTGCAGTGTCGGCGTCGGTAGACGAACAGGGGAACCGTGAGGATGCTGTGCCGACTGATGGCCCTGAGGACACTAAGTGTGCGTTGAGTGAAGGAGCTGGGGATTTCATTGAATTAGAGACAGAATTAG